GTGGTAGCAGACAAGACTGATCCCAATCATCATCACCTTCAGTGCCGCTTCAGTGCCATGGTGCAGAACTGATGCTTTAACTTATATCTTTTTTTTTTATTGCCCTAGTGAGCATATCAATTTTACTTTGTACAAAGTTCTTTTCCAAAGCATTTTTTGACAAAATAGAACAAACCAGTTAGCACCAACATAACTGGTTTGTTCCACTTTGGAGTAAGCTGTTGGGGGAAGAATCAGTTTTGTGTTGTCTGTTTCCTTGACTGATGAAGCCTTCTGGATGGAAGGTCAAACGTTTCAGCATAAAAAAACAGAAACTGCCCAGATGATCTGACTAAAAAAATACTGGATTGTATACCTGGATTCTTGAGCATGGACTTTGTTGGTTTTGAACCAGTTTGCCATGACTGTAGACGAGAGAGAGGGCCGACAACAGAGGTGGGGACGTGCCAAAAAGAGCATCTTAGCACCAACATAACTGGTTTGTTCCACTTCAGAGTAAGCTGTCTACATTTTGGTGTGGTAGTAGCTGAGAGTCATCCTCAACTCTTACTCTGATCACCAACACAAGGCTGTGGTGGTCATCTTGCACTAAGACTGTCAGAAAAGGCAGCAGACAAGTAACAAGTAAGTAACAATAATTACTTTTTTAAGCGTCTTCCAAGTATCCAAATAGTCTTTTGGGCATTTCCTGTTCATCCTGTCTCAAGTCTTACTCACTGACCTTCTAAATGTGTAAAATATCAAACTGATCCGAGGCACTGTACGCGTCAGGCAAACACGACAACAAATTACTCGATGATAGTGACGAAATTGGGACAAAGACAAAATTCTTCTTCTAACAGAGGATTTCCGATGAGTCATCCAGCGAGACAGAGAAATACAACGACAACGTGGAAACCTCTGACACAAGCTGCGCTCAGACTGTAATTTCATGAAGGACACACATCCCCGGTCAACTAAAAGAATGTTTTCCATCACGCTGTCTTTGTGGGCTGCGTTCACATTTACAAAGGGCACTGAGTTATGCCGTTGATTTTCTGCTCATGGGAAGGTTTGTATTTGATGGGTGACATTGCAATAAAAATGGAACTGTGTCACGCGAAGAGCTCACATACGAGTAAATTTGTCTTTTTTAATGTTCATGTTCATGAATGACTTCTGACTGTAGGAAGAAAGATGGTGCAGGTGATACAGTTGCCGCCTCTCAGCGAGCAGGTTACCCTGGTTCAAGTCCCAGCCATGCACCTTTCTGGATGGAGTTTGCATGATCTCTCTGTGCATGCGTGGGTTTTCTCCGGGTACTCCGGTTTTCTCCCACAGACTAAAAACATGCATGTTAGGCTGATTGGTAACTCTAAATTGTATCTAGGTGAGAGAGAGAGAGAGAGAGAGAGAGTGCATGGTTGAATGGAGCGGCTGTGGCTGAGTGGTTAGAGCAGTCATCCTACAATGCCAGAGTTGGGGGTTTGATTCCACTAGCTGTCACATGCCGCAGTGTCTCTGGGCAAGACACTGAACCCCTCATTGCCTCCGATGTGTGCCATAGGTGTATGAATGTGATAAAGCACTGACTATTGTTTGTACTGATATAGTAGAGTGCTGTATGAATGGGTAAATGAGGGCACAAATATGTAAATCTTGATAAGATAGAAAGGTGCTATATAAGTACAGTCCATTTGTCTCTATGTGGCCACGTGATGAACTGGAGACCTGTCCAGGGTGTACCCCACTTCTCGCACAGTGATGGATGTACATGGGCACCAATGACCTCCATGACCCAAAAAAGGAAGTAGCAGGTAAATAGGATGGATGGATGGATGGATGGATGGATGGATGGATGGATGGATGGA